TATATATATAAAAACATTCAAATAATTCCGACATCACGCCTGTGATTTAATTGAAACGGGGGCGGGGGAATAAAGAGGATTTGTACTTACGGGGCCCATGATTGTGGCTTGCCAGTGAAACACTATAAAAGGGAAGAAACGTTAGCTCTCCGGCTTACAAATGACCACTTGAAAACAACCTTGGAAATGTTATTAGCGTTCAGCGAACACTTACTGTCATCACCCACTGGCCCAGCGGAGCACTGTGCTGGGGGGTCACGAGCCAGGTCGTGAAGCTCCTAAAGTGGAGAAAACGATTTTGCGTTTGTTAACACACACCAAACACCATTCGGTCCAACCGGAGGCATGTTTTGTGTCTTATCACTCGTTATGCGAATCGATGTGTGCAACAATCATTGTATTGAATTTGGTTTATTTATCGATGATACGTTTGTATGAAGTCTGTGATGTTATAAACAACTCATGTTGCCTCCATAGTTAATGGGAGACATCTTTTTAAATACCGCGGCTGGTTTAATTTCATTTCGTTTTATTACGCAGTTTGAAACATTTACATCTCTGGAATTAATACCAGGCGAGGAGTTTTAAATTTTAGGTTTTCTTTGCCTTGTTACACAAGGCGCCAACGGAGGCTAAGGAACTTCTCCATTATTTAAAACAAAAAATGCCCTGATTGAATGATTAGCAATGGATATGTTCATTTCTGCTTTCTTGTCCATTTGTGAACTCTGACAGGTTCTGTGGATCCTAACTAAAAGTAGCTGCTAAAAAACAGCTATTTGTGCATTTTTGTGTTCTTCCCGTCACGCCCCGAGATAGCCAGCTACTTCCAAAGCACCGAGGAATAGTTAGCGACCGGCCAGGTGAACTGCAGAGAGAAGCACGAAGGAAGATCCCGGTCGAGACAAACATGGCGATGCTCCTTTCCAGGTTGACGTTAAAGGTGGCCGCAAACCTCCCAAAACGATGCAGAGAAAGAGCCAGATTGCTCTTCCCAGTTGTGGAAATAAAAAGCTGCTTAACATAATGTACAGTAGATGCAAGACTAGAACAAGGGGGGGGGGGGGGTCCCAAATTTTGCTGTAACGTTAAATCGATTAGAAATACAGCTTTGGCTATGATGTGTTAGGGAGAGGGGGGACAACCAAGTAAAAACGGTTCCAATACCTGTGGGGTTTGCAGGTATTTAGTATTTATTTTTTTAACTACAATTTTTCTAACGATTTGAACCATTTGATGAAATTGCTGTGCCATGTCAGAAACACACAAAAAAGGTTAGCCAACCAAAAAAAAAAAAAATTAAATAAATAAATCAATAAATAAAACGCCACATTATGCTATAAAAACATACAGTATTGCAGTGCTATAAATAATTATTATTTTAATAAGTGAATCATTTACACACAAATAAATATAGATATATTAATTGGAATAAAAAAAACTCAATTGCCTTCTCCATTTAAATTGACAATGTAGAAAATGCATTAACAAATTAATCATGAGTAAATTCTCGGTTGGGTTCGTAACAAAACTGGCAAAAAAAAAAAAAACGATCACTGGTTTCAAAAATGAAAGCACATGTTTACAAGCATCTCATTTTGATTCAGAGCAGTCTGCTTTCACGGAAGATGACAAAAAAAATCGGAGAATATTTACTATTGAGAGGCTGGAATTCCACTGTCGAGGACAGTTTAAGTTAAAAAAGGTCAACAAATGTGGTAATAGGGTCAGACTGGGGAAGTGCTATCGGTGCATTTTTACAAGTATGGGTACGGTACAGACATATGGAGCTCTTTTTATTCTTTAACTCAGGTAAAGTTCAATCAGCATCGTTTACAAGGACCTTTACTTGTAACCAAGTACCGAGTGAGCAAAATCGTCACCTGCGATTATGTAAACCAGTTAAAGCAAGGTGAGACTAAAGCATCAAACATGTTATTTTTAGGTCTTTAGCGATTTCACAGCAAGCAGGGTGGTAGTAGGGACGAGACCCCCACTACCACCCCCACTGCCCCACCCGGCCTCTACGAGTAAACACGTTTTTAATAAATGCCGGTCATTGTCTGTTATTCAAATTAGTAATCGACATTTCGCCTTTAAAAGCCGGCCGGCGCAGCATGTGCTTGCGTGACCTTAAGGGGATGAGTCCATAGACGCATACCACAGACATGTTTCACCCGCGACGCTTTTGACGTGAAATATGACTCACTATTTCTGGTTAAACGCCGCCTGTGAGTCAGTACAAAATACATATGTTGCAATATCAGATAACACGCGCATCGGACACGACACGCACGACCCCAATATTGGTCGCGATTGCAATCTAAGCCCGGACGAGTGTTTATATAAGCTGTGAGCGGTGTCAGGGCCCTCCGGAGTTAGCTTGGCTGCGAACGGCAGCTAGCGTCAAACACCGATTCGAAACATTCAACCCGGGATGTTGACAAACTCGCAGGCAATGTGGTAGTTGCGTGTGTGTTTTCTTTAAACTGCTAAAAGCGGTAAGTAAACGATCATGTTTCACCGAGGTAATCAAGATAACAAGAGGAACGGGTGCGGGGGGGGGGGCATTGCTAGCCTGCTAGCCCAGGCTAACTAGCAAGCAGTTGGGGCGTCAATGTTACCTTATTAATCCGTTTCAAAGCCATCCTTGCGTTGGGCTGCTGCCGCTGCTGTTACTGCTGCTGCCGGTTGTCGATCCGAGCGATGAAGACCGGGCGTGATATGCCAGGATGCTGGGGCCTTGCTCCGAATGAACCGACGCAAGTGTCTCTCACACACTCACACACACGCACACACACAACGCGACGCTCGGGGCCTTGTCGTTTCGAGCTAGCACACACAGTTAGCCGACGAGGCTAAAAAAAGGAATTACGTAGGCGCCGACGATGGAAAGGAAAAAAAACAATAAGAAGCGAGAAGAGAGAAGCCAAGCCGGGCGATTTTCAACCAGCTTAGTTTCTTCTTAACCACCAAAATGTCTTTAGTAGTCGTCCCCGTGGATTGAGTGTCGTCGTCGTCGTCAGGGTAGGGGTGGTAGGTAAGGGGGAGGGCGCGGATAAGAAACCCGCACCACGAAGCTTCCCGTGTCGATTTGATGCCGTTAGCCAGCTAGCTGCCGTCTTCAAGCAAGGAGCCTTTATGACGACACTCTGGAGTGGGCGGGGCGAGTGGACGACGCCGAAACACGACCGACCGGGCGGCCCGGATGTAGGTACGACACGCACGTACTGACAAATCGCAAACACCGCAAATAAACAAACAATAAAGAAATATAGATTTTTTTTTGTTTTTTGTAAATGTATTTATGTATATACTGTCTAGATAACTAATACAAGCACACATACACAAAACCAAAATACACACATAGACCTATTTTCAATTACAAGTCATATAAACGTCTTTTATACATTTCATCTGGGTATTTTATTTTAAAATGTGTTACTCAAATAAAATCATAATACCAATTTTGTAATTGCATCATTTATAAGTGATGTAAATGAATTATTATAAAATCAAGACATAGTTTAATACAAATGAGTACAAAATGTAAAATGTAAATGTACATTGTCATATTTTAATAAATTCTTATTTTTGTGGCAATTATGTGTTGTTAATTTGGTTTGTCCCTCTTTTTAGGAACATGGCAACGTGGATCGGTGTCGTTCTCGCCACACCTTGAAGATGTCATAGAAACAATCCGCATTTCAATTTAGGAAAGAAATGGCCGAGAAGCGATACAGTACTGTGCTGTCAAACCAGATTCCAAATTCAATCCAGATTTGAATCCAATACATTTCTTCATGTAAACTAAGGGCCATTTTCAATTCAGCTTTGATTGAAAATGAGGGTTTATGCTTATTCAAGCTTGGTTAAAAATAGCCACATCTCAATGACATCATAGAAAGTGACTAAAACAAAAACTATCCTATTGTTCAAAATTTCCATTTTGTCCTTCCCTCCTGCCCCTTTACTTTCAATCCAGATTGGACATTGAAATTCAATTTAATATTCACTTGATTGAAGTGCGTTTAAGACAAATTCATCCATTTTTGTTTTTACAAACTTTGTTTTAGGGGACCAGGATTCAATTCAGATTTGGTAGCATTTACATGGACAAATAAACAAAATCCTCGCACATGTAATGTCATTGTCTACATTTGAGTTATTTTGAGTTAAAATCAGGAAATGGCATTACAAATATGAACAAATAAGAATTACAGACTCAATTGTTTCAATATTTAATGAAAAAAAAAAAAAGAGACCAAAGTTGCGAGGCATTCACTAAGTTAAACGTTTAAATGATTTTTTTGTTTTTTTGTTTTAGCATGTTAGCTTCTGGAAGAAAAAAAAAAAAAAACACCGCATCAAAAAACATCACCCTCATCTGGATCGTTGTCAGGATCCTCGGCCGACTCGAAGCCGTCTTCCTCCACAGAGTCGAAGTCTTCCTCCGTAGGGGCCCGGGCGTCGGGCCGCGGGGGGGCCGAAGCATCGGGTTCTGTGGTGCGGTGGGTCGGCGGCTGGGCCGGGATCGTCTGGTGGCACATGGGGCACGTCCCCTGCACGTGAAGCCACTTGCTCAGGCAGTTGGCGTGGAACAAGTGGTCGCACGACGTGACCACGGCCGACGTCATCTCCTGTTAACGTGCATGCACAACATCACTTTCATTAATAGACAGAATTTTTTTTTTAAATGGAAGGAAAAAAAAGGAAAAATAAGAAAAAGCCGTAAAAGGAAAAAAAGAAGTACTGACTGAAAAAAAGGAAAGGAAAAAAAAGTACCTGGAAATGGGCAAATGAATCACCCAAGGAACCTCCCCCCAAAAAAAAATTGTAAAGGACCTAAAAAGAAAAAAAACTGAAAAAAATAGAATAATTTTACATCATTAATAATTTAAAACCTCACTTGGAGGAGCTCCTCTTTTTTAACGACTGGGCAAAAATAAATAAATACAAAAAGAAATTTAGAGATGGGAGAATAAATGACCCCCAAGCCCCCCAAAAAAGAAGTCGAGCTAAGATCCTGCATTTTAATTCTTACTTGAATTTATTACGTACATTAATATATATTGTGCATTGTTATAACTCCGAATTACAATAATTCTAATTCATAAATTATACATTATTTTAAAACGAGTTAATAACAATCAAAAACCTTCAGTTTCTTTATTAATAAACATCCTGGCCTTCTTTGAAACCCTAATTTGTAGCCGTAACCCTTGCTTGAATTGCTCATTTGAATCCGTACTCCTGTCTTGACACCCTAACTCATTAACCACGGTCGAAACCACAAACCTATCTTCAAATATATGTGCAACGCATTTCATCGGCATCCATGCAAGTGCAACGAAACTTCTCAAGGGCGTGTATTTCAGGCACTGCGAAAAAAATAAACGGTTAAAAAAAAAACGCCAACACAATACAAATGGAAATGTTAGAGTGACGGCAAGAAATGATTTTTGTTCATGCAGAAAAAGTCACCAAAAAAAAAAAAAAAACAGCCTACGTGTGCGCAACGGATCGAGTCGTAAAATCCCAGCGATTGGTCTTTTTGAGGCACATCTTTGTCCACCTTTCAAGTGGAACCTACCATGAAGCAGATGGCGCAGACGTCATTGTGGCGCTGGAGCTGCTGCGGCGTGGCCCGGGGCAGCGAGTTGATCTTCTTGACTGCCTCCAGCCGGAGCAGGAAGCTGCGCCAGCCCGACTGCGCCCGCAGCCACACGTTGCAGTACGAGTGGACGACGATGACCGAGGCGCCCGTCCAGCTCCACTCGCCCAACAGCGACTCCCAGACGCCGTACGCCACCACGCACACGGCCACCGCAAACTCCAGCACCCGGCTCACTGCATTCACCCAGTAGATCACCTCGTCCAGGTTTTCCATGGGCTCACTGCGGAACAGCTCCGCCATGAAGAGGGAGTAGATAAACAGCGTGCCCGTGACCTGCGTTGACGAGAGCGTACAAAATATGAGCAAAAAACACATCAGCGAGCGAGGCTGGCGGGAGCAGCCTCAAAAGTCGACAAACGCCTGAGCAATGAGTGAAATGAGCCGACAATGGCCACTTCCAAACAAAGTGGCTTCAGGCCTGAATTATTTAGCCTTTTTTTTTTTTTTTTTGGTGCGTCTACTCACAATTGACATGCCTGTCAAATGACACATTGTTAGGAGAGACTGGCTTCAGGGGATGAATTTTTAAAAGCACTCCGAAGGCTGCTGTTGAGACAAAATGGCCAATTTAAAGCAAAATGGCCTGCTTCCAGTGTCTTTTCAAGCATGGGTTCGTGATATATATTTTTTGCGTATCTACTCATCATAGACACACCGACCAAATTTCAGGTTGCTCAGTGACATTGGCTTTGGGGGATAAATTTCCAAATTTCTTTTAAATGGCAGTACTGAAGCCTAACTAAAGTGCCACTTCAAGCCGGATTTTCTGTGTGTTGTCAGCCAAGGCTTCTAGACTTTTTTTGTGGGTCTAAGACATGCCTACCAAATGTCATTTTGGTTTGTAAAATTAGCTTTGGGGGATACATTTTTAAATCATTCCGGATGTCTGTGTCACACCAAAACGACTCCCTGAGTTTTTTATAAGCATGGCTACTTGAGAGTTTTTTTGTGCGTCGACTCATGATAGACACAGCTACCAAATTTCATGCTGCTACGTGACACTGGGTTCGGGAGCTGAAATTTAAAAATCTTTCTAGAAGGCACCACCAAGCCAAATCGCAGCTTAAAACCAAAACGGGTGACTTCCTGTGTCTTTTCGGGTATGGCTTATTGAGACTTTTTTTTTTGTGGGTTTATCCATGAAATTGCACAAGAGTACTCATGACAGTCACTTCGGGAGCCGAATTTCAAAAATAAGTCAAGGTTGCACTACTACTATAATATGTTATCCGTTGGCCTTGGCATTAAGTCGACTGATTCAACTTTGGTTGCGGTGTTTCCAAATCTCAAGGATGTTTTTGTCTTAGTTGGACCCCAGGAAAGAGCCAAGAAGGAGCCGAGATGGCTAAAATCGTCCGGTCTTACCTGAAGGGAGGTCAGCATGCATCCGGCCACCAAAATGAGGAGCCAGAAGTCCATATGGAAGAACTGTAAAATCTTATAAGCCATGAATACCGGGAAGACCAGCAAAAGAAGACACATGCTGAGCCCACGCAAGTGCTTCCACACGCTCCTGAAAAGGTGGTTGTGGGGGGAGGGAAACAAAAACAAAAAGAAAAAATATCATGAATGCACAAAGCCCCCCCGCCCCAACATTCCACCAACCCACTGGTGGGCTTTCATTTTCTGGACTCGACCGTCTTGTTTCAATCGCTAAAACAAAAAGATCACTTTGCCTCCATCTTGTGAAATCTTGGTGTCAAGGAACTATGCTGAGGTGATTTGCGGACTTTCATTTCGTAGCACCTCACTTTCAACATGTGGCATCCTGGCGTTGAGGAACTAGTGCGTTAAATGGAGTTGAGGAAGGCAAAATAACTGCTTGACAGCCATCGTGTGGCACAAAAATATGAAGGAACTATCTTGAAGTGAGTTGAGGAGTTTCATTTAGAGAAAACTAGTGCTTTACCACCATCTTGGTGCCAAGGAACAATGTTGTGGAGTGTAGTTTGGACAAAAGCAGTGGTGTACCAAGACCTTGGTGTCAAAGAACTACGTTCCAGTGAGTTGAGGAGTGTAATTTAGACAAAAAAGGGCTTTCCTACTATCATGTGGCTTCTTGGTGCCACTAAACTATTTTGAAAGTGGGTTGAGGACTTGAATTTAGACAAATGTAAAGCTTTGCTCCCATGTGTGGTATCATTGTATGAAGGAGCTGTGCTGAAGTGAGTTGGGAGTCAGATTTAGACAGAAATAGCTATCTTGTGGCATTTTGGTGTCAAACAACTATGTTAGAGTGAGTTGTAGCGTTTCCTCCATACAAAAATAGTATTTTGCCAGCACGTGTGGCATTGTCGTGTCAAACCACGATCTTGAAGCGAGTTAAGGAGTTTGATTTAGACCAAAATAGTGCCTTGCCACAATGTTGTGGTCACCAGGAACTTTCTTCACGTGAGTTGAGGAGTTTCACTCCGACAAAAGGAGCTTTGCTGGCCATCCTGGTCTCCAGGAACGATGCCAAAGTGAGGTGAGAAGTTTCCTTTGGATAAGTTTCGTGCTTTGCTTGCCATTATGTGGCACCTTGCGCTCAGGGTACTCTGTTGAAGTGAGCGGAGGAGTTTCCCTTGGACCAAAGTGTTGCTGAAGTCGTGCAGGCGAGTGAGTCGAGGCGAGCACCTGTTGCGCGAGGCGGCCATGGCGAGAACGAGCGGGTGGGTGATGTCCAGCATGGCCTGCATTGTGGACGTGAGCACGATGAAGAGGATGATGCTGAGCAGGAAGGTCCGCTGCAGCGTCGCCGCCGCCAGCAGGCCCGTCTGCAGGGCGAGCAGGAGCAGCGTCACGCCCTCCGTCAACCCCCTGACAAACAAAACGCAGCTTATATCCTCATCCGCATCCGTCTCTGTTTCCTAAACCTCCTTTGAAAACCGGACCCTTGTTTGAAACCTCAACCCACCGCTTGAAAACCTGGAAACCCCCACCCTTCAAATCAGAAAGCCTCACCCCGTCGTAAAAGCCCGTCCCTTATTTGAGAAGCTAAATTGAAAGCCAAACCATGTTTTCAAACTCTAATCTGAAATCCGAACAACTTGTTTGGTTGGGAACCACGAGCGCCTTTGTACAAATCAAGTGGAAGCAGGTCAGGCTACGGGCGTCTCACCTGTGCATGACGTTGTGGTTGTGCAGGGCGGCGTCGTCGCTCCCCAGGAACAACTTGCAGAGGTTGAGCAGGCCCAGCGCCAAGTAGGACACCACGAAAGTCAGACCCAACAGCGAGTACGGCGTGGCACAGCATTCGGAAACACTGCGCGCGCACACACACACACAAATATGAAGGACCCACGTTGAAGTGAGTTAAGGAGTTTTATTGAGACAAAAGTGGAACTTTGCTGCCATCTTGCAGCATCTTGGTATTGAGGAACTATGTTGAATTGAGTTGAGGATTTTCATTTGGACAAACTAGTGCACAAACACACACAGAGTGAGCGCTTCCCCACCCGGTGAGCAGGAAGAAGAGAAGGCCGTGACTGGCGGCAGACGAGGCGGCAGGGGACATCACGCTGGAGCACAGGTAGACGGCGAAGAGGACCAACCAGAAGACGCTAAAGAGAAGCGGCACGGCAAACTGAGTCCACAGCGAGAGCGCTGCCCCCAGCAGGCGGGACAGCGCCATGCCCTGAGCGGGATTTTCGTATCAGGTTAAATGTAAAAACAAAAACAAAAAAAAACTCCAGACAAAAAAAGACAGTAAGGGTCCGAGTTCAAGTTTCTCGAGATTCGAGACGATATTTTGTCTTGACTTGCAAGCAAAAATTTGGTGAAGAATAAGTAAACCATTCGTCACAAAGACTGCTAGCTTAATGCTAACAATAAATAAATGAATAGAAGGTTGGCGCACCTCCATCTTGAGCGACAACGCTGCCTTGGTGAGGCGGTAGAGCGCCGAGAGCAGGAAGAGGCAGCAGGCGACCTCGCTGAGCGTGGCGGCGAAGGCGTGCACGGCGGGCAGCAGGGCCACGGGGGCGCCGCCTAGGCGGGCCAGCAGGGGGAGCGCGGGGACCCAGAAGAGCCACACCTTGCGCGTCTTCATCAGGAACGCCATCAGCGCACTCACCAGGAGCTGACCTGAAACACAAAAACACAGACACCGCTCACTAGATGGCGCTGTCCTGGAAAGTCCAAGTCAGTACCACAGCATGGTTTAGGACCCTAATTTGAAACGTCAACACCAGTTCGAGAACTAAACGCTTTTTTGAAACCCAACTGAAGTCAGAATGTGAGACACTAACACTGTTTTGTAACCCTAGCTTAAAAACCAAATCCAGGTTTAAAACCCTAACTTGTTTGAAACCCACACCTTCTCTCGAAACCCTAATTGTTGTTCATCGAAACCACAATTTGAAACACAAACCCTTGTTTGAAACCTGAACACTTAGTTTGGATCTTGCAACCCTAACCTTCCTTTTAAACCTTTGCACTGTTTTGAAACCCTACATTAAAAACCCTAACCTTAGTTTGAAACCCTAATCCTAGTTTGTAATTTTCTTCAACATTATCCTGAAGAAATGTTAATCATCTATATTTGTTCTCTTATCATACTACTTAGTTCCTATTAGTGAGCCCCATGACATCAATTGATCCAGTAAATGTCAAAAGTGTAATGACGCAACAATCCAGCAATGCGTCAGCGCCTGACCCACAGGACTCACCTGTCACCGCCCAAATGAATCTGTTGATGGCCTCGACGTGGAGGTAGGGCGCCCCCTGGTGGCCCGCATGCAGCTCCTCCATGATAAACTCCCTGGAAATAGCAAGAGGTAATGATGACAAAACACAACAGTAACAAAATTCAGTCAACTCCAATTACATACAGTACACACCTAACCCCAATTCGGAACTGGTCGAAACACTGATTTGAAGCCATAACCCTGGCTTGAAACCTTTATTTAAAACCCCAACCCTCATTTGCAATTATAAAGACTAACCCTGACTGAAAGCCTGATTGGAAGTCCAAAAATATGTTGAAAGCCGATTTGAAAGGCCAGTTTTTGATGGCCGCTTGCACTGACCTTGCAATCTGGTGTCCCACGAAGAGCAGCATGGCGGCCAGCACGTGCAGGTAGACACTCACGATGTGTCTCAGTGGCAGCAGCAGCAAAACCAGCATCAGCAAGTGACCTAACGCACGCACGCACATGGAGATCCTCAGTTGACTGGCTTACTTGCTTGGCTCTAAGATACCGCAAGATGGTGCCAGAGCCATACGCATTCCAGGCGTTAGCTCGAGCATAAAAAAACAGCAAATAGGTGAGTTTGTAGGAGGAAAGTGCAAATGGTATGAAACAAATTTGGGAAAATGCACAAGTGTTGTGAGGAGGTGGGCAAAAATATGAAAACAATTAATATATGAAAAATGTAAAATATTGGAAGACATGGGTGTTGATGAAACAAATATTTGACAAAAAATATTACGTGATAAACAAATATTCAAACAAAATATTAGTCAAGAATACAAAATAGAAGAAAAATCCAAAATGTTGAAAAAAAACATAGAAATGATTTTGGTAAATTTACAAAAAAAAAAACGTACTCACCAAGGTAGAACATGTCGGAGACGAGCCATCCGTACTTGGTGAACATATGTTCGTTTTTTACCCTGAGGTGCTCCGTCAAAGTAACGATGTCATGCTTGTAGAGCAGGTCCAGCACCAGGATGATGGGCACCCTCAGGGCCACATTGGCAAACTCTTCCAGTCGAGGCATACCCACAAAAAAAGACGAATTTGGGGGGAGGGAGAAACGGGGTTGATGAGGGTCACATGGCCACCATTTCGTCCATCCTGCGATCACCTGAAACAGAAACCAAAACAACTTTACCCGTAAAACAACACCAATGCTAATAAAGTAATAAATTACAATACTGGATATATTAACAGACTACACGGCGGTACTATCGTATCGATTGAAAGTTACGAATGGTCAGTCGGGATAAAATAAAACTTACGTTGCGCAGCCGCAGGATGGCTGCTCGTTTATCAAGTGAACAACAAACCGTCCCACATTTTTCCAGCGAATCAAACGTTAAGTTATAACCGCATTGGAAACAACATACTTGATTTAATTAAAAGAAACACATAGAGCACATTTGACAATAAACTTGTACTTGACTTGACTTGAGATATCAGACAATATACGGACGTGGAGTAAGACTTCAAAGCAGTGTTATGATTCCGGTCGTTTGCGTGGCCACTTCCTGTAAACGTCACAGCGGAACAAGCCAATCGCATTGAGAAAAACTTGAATTGGAAATTATTTAAAAAAAAAAACACAAAACTTTAAAACGAATCTAAATATTCATAACAATGTAAAGCTGCCGTTAACTGCGAACCGGAAAACAAAAAGTTATCCAATAAAAACATAAACGAGGCACGACATTGTGGCTCTGTTCCGTAAACGTCACAACCAAATGTTCCAATCAGATCGAGGGAGAGTTGGAACCTTAAAAGTTTTTGTAATGAATGTACACATTTATAACACGTCGCACGTAAAAGCACAACGGTAGGCAGTGAAAATATACCTCCATATAATTTAATAAAAAAATAAAAACGAAATATGAGACGATTTAAAGGGTTCCTGCATACATTGCAAGGGAAGAAGCCAATTATATTCTGAGAGACCCAGACTTCAAAATACTCTTCATTCATTGACATATCCTATTAAATTATTTTTTGTTTTACATTTTATGAAAATAAAGTGATTTGCGTAGCCACTTCTTACAGACGGAATAGCAGAAGTAGACAATTAGATGGAGGGAGTTTTGGATTTAAAAATCAGTCTTTGAAAAATACTCAAATCGGGGGTGACTTCGGGATATTTTTTTCCTCCCTGGATTCAAGTGGGGCTGAAAATATTTCATAAATATATTTTACAATATCAGATAAAATGCTGGAGGGGCTTAATTGGTGCTTGATACGATTTCTGACAGGGCTATAGCCCCCTCTCGCAAAATATCTGATAAAATTACTGAAATATTTGATGAAAAATTCTCAAATATTTGACAATGCCAGAAATTAAATATGCAGATTTTGGACACAATATTAGAAGAAAGGCACAAATATCACAAGAACAATAATTAAAATATTTGACAAAAAAACTGCTAGATACACAATCAATACATAAAAAAATATATCGTAAAAAATACAAAATATGCCCCCCAAAAAGCGCTTTAAACCATGGCTGCAAACAAAGTGCTGTACACTCCGACCAGCTCCAGTTAGGAGGCGAGCAACAGTATTTTGGACCAACTACCGACACCCCCTCCCCGACTTTGCAGACCGCTGTCATGACACATTTGAAAATTTGAAAATGAGATGAAAGATACACAAACAGAGGAAATGATTTAACACAAGGGAGAGTGAGTAAGAATGAATAACCGTTCGTCCTGCTGATTTAGCTCTCGATTTCTTGGACTGTCAGCACTGACGTACATGAAACGCGCATGTTGTTGTATAGACTTCCTGCCTGAGTGTTATCCAAGTGGTGGGTGGGTAGGATTGGTTTTCCAGGAGACTGGGGAGACTTTTGGAGAAGCGATCTGCTCACAACACCGAAAGAAGAAGCAGCAGAAGAGTTATCGCCACCGGGTACGTGTCCAGCAGGGTGTGTCCCATCTTACAAACACCGATCAGGCACAAATAAGCATCTTGCGTCACTCGGACGAGAGCGGGAAAGCGCCTGGACGTCATCTTCTTCTTCCCGCTTTGAAACCTCAACGCTTGTTTACTTCCACGACTACTCCGCTCGTTTGAAACCCTTCTTTGACCTCTGAACCCCGTCTTGAAACTGTAACTGCACTTTTGAAACCCTAATACGAGTTTGTGAGCCTAATCCAGTTTCGAAAGACTCATTTGAAGCCTTTCACCCGTCTGAAACGCGACCCTAACCCAGTCTTACTCTTAAGATAGTTTGAAACCCTACTTTGATGCCTTGACCCCCGTCTTGAAACCCTACTTCGGGAAGTGTAACAACGTGCTAATTTGAAACATGCACCCTTTGAAAGTCCGCCACGAAGATTGCGCCACTTGGGGACGTTGGATCTTCGGGGTTCCGCAGTTTTGTGTTGCGAGGTCTGGAGCCCCTCCTTCCGCATTTCCTCCCCCCTCCTCCTCGCCCCCGGTCTCTCCTCATAAGCGATGTCCCAGCGCATTCTCTGCACATGCAGCACACAAGGAGCAGGATGGAAAAGTCAGCCCTGGTCTTCATCGTCCTCCTGGCGGGAACGTTTGGGGCAATCGCCGACAACGCCACAGAGACCGCCACCACCTCCGAGACCACCACCGGCGGAGGGATGGCCGGGAGCACGCCGACGTCGACTCCGGGGTTGAAGTCTACGGCGAGCTTGGCGCCAACGCCGCCGCGTCCCAGCAGCGTCAGCAAGAAGGAGGAAGACAAGCCTAAGGACAAAGTTGAAATGGGTATGACCAATCGCAACTCACCGGCCCTGTCCTTAAAAACTTGAATTTGAAACTCTGAGCCTAACTTGAAACCCTTAGACTGCATTTGACACCCCAAGACCTGTTTACAATTCCAACCCAGTCTTGAAACCCGAACACTGACACTAACTTAAAATCACCATTTGAAATGCTAACCTTAGTTGAAGACCCTAGATCATGCTCTTGAGCATCATTGGAAACCATAAACTTGTCTCAAAACCCAAATTTCTACCCCCAATCCTTGTTTGAACCACCGACATCAGCATGAACCCTGAATTTGGAACATAAACCCAGTGTTGAATCCTTAAACAAGACTTGAAACTCCAACCCAAACATTCACCCTGTCTTAAAACCCTAACTTGAAACCGTTATGTCATCATACCCTAACTGAAAACCCTTACTTGAAACCCTGAACCTGGCTTGAAACCCTAACTTTAAAAACCATACCCTGTCTTGAACCCGCATCACTAATTTAAAATCCAAACCCTCGTTTCAAACTCAAATTACAAACCCTAATCTTGGATTAATGCCCTTAATATGATTTCAACCCTAATTTGAAACCCTAACCCTAGTTTGAAGTCTTAATTTGAAACCCTAACCATGGCTTGATGCCCCAATCGTGAATTCAAACCCCAACACTGGATTGAAGCTCTCACTTGGAACTCAAATCCTGGTTTTAAAGGCTTATTTGAAACCCCAACTCGGTCTTAAAAACAAATTTGAAACCCTAATACTTGTCGAAAACTCTACCCTCGTTTGAACCCGCACCTCTCTCAAAACCCTAAATTAAATCTCTAAATTGAAATCCTTAACCTGGCTCGTTACCCTAACCATGACTTCAACCCCTGTTTTGAAACGCTAACCCTAGTTTGAACTTGACTTGTTTGACACCGTGAACCTGTCTTTAAACCCACATGATAAACGGTGACCCTTGTTTAAAACATGAATCTGAAACCCAAAGTTCATTTGAAAGCTTGCCATGAAAGCAGGTCAATTGGTCATGTTTTGAGTGCCTCGCTGCCAGATGTGCTACAAATCCCCCAAAACACGTCTGCTGTGACTTGACTCCAAGCGTGAGAACAGGCTGAACTTTCTTCAGCGCAAATCCGTCCCGTGGGCTGTAAACACACACGCACACACACGCGCATCTCCAAAGCAGACGAGCGGAGCCAAAACACGCCGCCGTCAGCGTTTCTGATGAATGCTGGCGTTATTGCCTCGGAATTCCCGGCGGCTGGAAGGTTGACTTTTACACTCGACCCCGGTTGGCTCAGTTTTTGCGCAAAAATGGCCTATCTGGCCGTCTTCCTGCTCCTGCTCGTCCTCGAGGAGCACGATGAGTGGGAAAGCGGGATGGGGGGGGGGGGGCGGCTCTCTGCATCCCGCATAGCTGAGCTGCTCTGATTACATCGCGGTCACGCTGGAGCAGTTTTAACCCCTTGAAGGGGAGGACGGCCACTGCTAAAATACGGGAACAGTGACAGGAATCATTGGTCATGGAACATGGGAAAGTAACAGTACAGGCGGCACTTGGCGTCTAACTGGCAGTAACAGTAACCATTTGAACAGCATCGGGATTCCTTTTCTCATGCAACACAGTAACCGTGACAGGAGTCATCTGGTGTGTCATGAACAGGAACAGTAACCACAGTCATTTGTCATGAAGCGTAGAGTACGCGAAGCTGGGGTTATTTGTCATGCAACACAGTGACAAACAAGCCAGGCATCTCTTGTCATCGACAGTAACAGTAACCAGAGTCACTTGTAACAGCAACAGGAGCCATTTTTGTCGTGCAACACAGAGTAACAGTAACAGGAGTCATTTGGCATGTAACACACGGGAACAGTGACAGGAGTCATTGGTCGTGGAACACCGGAAGAGTAACAGTGCAGGCGGCACTTGGCGTCTAACTGGCAGTAACAGTAACCAGAGTCATTTGTCATGCAACGTGCAGTAACAATAACGACAGTCGTTTGTTACGTGCGTACAGAGTAGCAGGAGTCATTTCTGTCATTTGTTCTCAAACAAAGAGAAAGAGTAACATGCATCTGTGCGCTACATACAGTCACCAGATTCCTTTGGAATGGAACAGACAGTAGCAGTCGAATAAAAATAAAATTCCCAAAGTTTGCACACATAAAGTGAATCCAGAGAGTATTCGCGGCGGTTCACTTTTTCCGCGATTTATTAGGTCACAGGCTTTATTCCTAAATGGAATACATTCTGTTTTTTTTCCCCCTTCAACCTCAAAATTCAACAAGTCACAAAGCGCAACCCGATGAATACTTTCCGGCTGGACTGAGCGCAGCGGTACCCAAACTTTTTCTTTCACGGGCTTGAAAGCGAAAACTGAAAAAAATGCAAGCGCCACTTGCAATGTGTTTCATTGACAGACTTGAGATCCAATCCACCGAGGCATCTCATTTGGTTTCTATTTTGCAGTTACTTTAAAAAATGGCTACGTGACGCAAGTGGCAAATCTCGGCTTTTTGTCTGGCCCACACCCCGCCTGCAGCCGTGCACCTCGGTGGAGCCGAAACTCATTTCCACATTCGGACGCCAATTAAAAGCGATCTGCAGCACGGTCACAATTTTTCAAGCAGTTACTTGAAGACCCTGAATCCATTTTTGCTTCTGAAACAAAATGATCGTGTTTTACCATTGCGATGGGAAATGTTACTATTTTAGGTATAAATTGTTTCTTTGCAGATTGTTTTTTTTTTCGGACGCCAATTAAAAGCGATCTGCAGCACGGTCACAATTTTTCAAGCAGTTACTTGAAGACCCTGAATCCATTTTTGCTTCTGAAACAAAATGATCGTGTTTTACCATTGCGATGGGAAATGTTACTATTTTAGGTATAAATTGTTTCTTTGCAGATTGTTTTTTTTTTCAACGTCCTTATTTCTCACACTTCAAACACCGACCCGGAAGTCTCACTTTCAACCCCAATCTTGCCTTGTAATCCTCATTTTGTAACTAACTCACCCGCCGTCACTGACGCCAGACGTGTCTTCTACTTCCTCCAGGCTGTCCTCCCCTGGGTCTGGAGTCCCTCAGGGTAGACGACACCCAAATCCAGGCGTCCTCCTTCCAAAGGTTCGGTCTGGGTCCTCACAGGGGCAGGCTCAACATCCAGGTTTGATCTCTGTTCCATCTCTCATTCTTCTTTTTTTTTTTTTGGACTCTGTCCTGTTCAGCTGTTTTATCGCCATGCAGCATGGTGGACGTCTCGAGTTCTTCATGCCGGAACGACTTTTCTGTGCAAAAGGAAATTTTGATACAGCGGTATCTCAACCTATGAGCAATAAGCAACAGTTTGGCAAAGAGTGAGCAGGTCTTCAAAAAACCCACAAAAAAGAGGCTTTCAGGGGGTGCTAATGCTAACACATAATGGGAACGCCTGAAAAAAAAAAAAGCAGATTACATTACAAAAAAAAAAGCAGATTACATAAGTTTTTGTTGCTTGGTTTTGGCAGACTGAAACGGATTGTTGGTATTCTCATTCACTTCGACAGAGAAAAATTGATGAGTGTTATCAAGGCTGTATTTGTGTTGGAGGGCTTTTTATTAGAAACACACAGGGACAGAATGAGGGGCTTTGAGAATGTGGGGGTGGGGGGGGGCATAAAGAAAACGGCAAAAACAAAGCGTCTTTGCAAGAATAATAGCATGAAAGGATATACGTCTTATGAAACGACTCAGCGAGTCTGAAAGCAATTAAGTGTCACTCTCCAGAGCCAACAAGTTTGCGGTTCCTCCCGAAGCTGACCAAGCATTTCCGCGCGCGCGTGCGTGTGTGCGTGATGATATTTCCAGTCAGGCATCGAGGGCGGCGCCCTGTGCGTCGGCGCTTGTTGCGCCGACTACAAGGACCGGCACCAGTGGCTGGAGGTGGACGCCTTGCCCCTCACCCGCTTCACCGGAGTCATCCTGCAGGGCCGCAACACCATCTGGAGGTCATCTGTTTTTTTTCCCCCTTCAACCTCAAAATTCAACAAGTCACAAAGCGCAACCCGATGAATACTTTCCGGCTGGACTGAGCGCAGCGGTACCCAAACTTTTTCTTTCACGGGCTTGAAAGCGAAAACTGAAAAAAATGCAAGCGCCACTTGCAATGTGTTTCATTGACAGACTTGAGATCCAATCCACCGAGGCATCTCATTTGGTTTCTATTTTGCAGTTACTTTAAAAAATGGCTACGTGACGCAAGTGGCAAATCTCGGCTTTTTGTCTGGCCCACACCCCGCCTGCAGCCGTGCACCTCGGTGGAGCCGAAACTCATTTCCACATTCGGACGCCAATTAAAAGCGATCTGCAGCACGGTCACAATTCTTCAAGCAGTTACTTGAAGACCCTGAATCCATTTTTGCTTCTGAAACAAAATGATCGTGTTTTACCATTGCGATGGGAAATGTTACTATTTTAGGTATAAATTGTTTCTTTGCAGATTGTTTTTTTTTTCAACGTCCTTATGTATAAATTGTTTCTTTGAAGATTGTTTTTTTTTTCAACGTCCTTATTTCTCACACTTCAAACACCGACCCGGAAGTCTCACTTTCAACCCCAATCTTGCCTTGTAATCCTCATTTTGTAACTAACTCACCCGCCGTCACTGACGCCAGACGTGTCTTCTACTTCCTCCAGGCTGTCCTCCCCTGGGTCTGGAGTCCCTCAGGGTAGACGACACCCAAATCCAGGCGTCCTCCTTCCAAAGGTTCGGTCTGGGTCCTCACAGGGGCAGGCTCAACATCCAGGTTTGATCTCTGTTCCATCTCTCATTCTTCTTTTTTTTTTTTTGGACTCTGTCCTGTTCAGCTGTTTTATCGCCATGCAGCATGGTGGACGTCTCGAGTTCTTCATGCCGGAACGACTTTTCTGTGCAAAAGGAAATTTTGATACAGCGGTATCTCAACCTATGAGCAATAAGCAACAGTTTGGCAAAGAGTGAGCAGGTCTTCAAAAAACCCACAAAAAAGAGGCTTTCAGGGGGTGCTAATGCTAACACATAATGGGAACGCCTGAAAAAAAAAAAAGCAGATTACATTACAAAAAAAAAAGCAGATTACATAAGTTTTTGTTGCTTGGTTTTGGCAGACTGAAACGGATTGTTGGTATTCTCATTCACTTCGACAGAGAAAAATTGATGAGTGTTATCAAGGCTGTATTTGTGTTGGAGGGCTTTTTATTAGAAACACACAGGGACAGAATGAGGGGCTTTGAGAATGTGGGGGTGGGGGGGGGCATAAAGAAAACGGCAAAAACAAAGCGTCTTTGCAAGAATAATAGCATGAAAGGATATACGTCTTATGAAACGACTCAGCGAGTCTGAAAGCAATTAAGTGTCACTCTCCAGAGCCAACAAGTTTGCGGTTCCTCCCGAAGCTGACCAAGCATTTCCGCGCGCGCGTGCGTGTGTGCGTGATGATATTTCCAGTCAGGCATCGAGGACGGCGACCTGTACGACGGCGCCTGGTGCGCCGACTACAAGGACCGGCACCAGTGGCTGGAGGTGGACGCCTTGCACCTCACCCGCTTCACCGGAGTCATCCTGCAGGGCCGCAACACCATCTGGAGGTCAGGTGGCGTCGGCGGCCGCGTCTGCGCGTCCCCAATCGGGCGGAATTTCCCCGATTGGGAAATCTGAGCAAGCTTTGCGTGTGCGTGTGAACAGACGAGACTGGGTCACCAGCTACAAAGTGCAGCTGAGCAACGACTCCATCAGCTGGAAGAGCAGCATGAACGCAACGCAAGAAGCGGTAAGATTCAGGCTTGACACGCCGATTGAAAAGGCCCACCCGGGGCGTGAAACCTGAACTCGATCTTGATTGGCGAGCATGTTGGAAACAAGCCTGAAAACAGTTCAAGGGACTTGAGTGCAGCGCCGCGCCGATTGCGCAACATCGGCCGCACTGTAATCATTTCAAGGGCTGCAAAATTTGCAAAAACATGCAAAGCCAGCAACCCCCCCCCCCTCCCTTCCCCGCCCCCTCTCATCCCACCGCACGGATTTATGCAAACGTGTGGCGTCCCACTCCATGCAGATCTTCGAAGGCAACGGCGACGGCGAGAGTCCGGTGCTGGCCTTGCTCCCCGTGCCCGTGGTTGCGCGTTACATCCGCCCCGCAGAGTTGGTCCCCCGATGTAGACATCTGCCTACGAGCCGAGATACTCGGATGTCGCCTTGACGGTACTTGCGCACGCACGCACCAAAACAAAACAAAAAACATTTTTTGATCTTGGCTGCTTGGCTCTTGTGATCTCTTCCAAAGATCATGTTTTTTAGTCTCCCTCCCTTGCAGCACAAGAGGAAGACCAAAGGGTTGTTTTCGGTCTCCATCCTAGGACGCATTTTAGGGTGTATTCACACCTGTCCTGTTTGTTCCACTTGAAAGGCACCAGGGGTCGTTTCCCACGACGGTCCGGGACTTTTATGCGGGTGTGAATGCACGCAAACAAGTCCTGGTGCGTCTCAAACAAACCCCGTGTCGTTCCCGCTTGCAGAGCCGCAGGAGAGCATTTCCTCAGCACAGGAGGGCAGGTCAAAGGATAATCTGGATTTCCGACACCACAACTACCAGGAGATGAGAAAGGTGAACGTTCACAACCAGTTGCTCGGATTTCACGCTTGGAAAACGTCGAACCTCACTCGCTCTCCTTCTCTCCGGAAAGCTGATGAAGTCGGTGGCGGAGGAGTGTCCCGACATCACGCGCATCTACACCATCGGGAAAAGCTACATGGGCCTCAAGCTCTACGTGATGGAGATGTCGGATCATCCCGGGAAGCACGAACTGGGTGAGGAGCGCCATTTTAACTCCTTCCCTCCCAATGACGGCTATGGACGTCAAAGATCCATGTCGGAGAAGAAGTAAGTACATTGAAACGTACAGGACACTTCAATTGGTACTGAATGACTCATTTTGATCAGGCGAGCCGGAGTTCCGCTACGTGGCCAACATGCACGGAAACGAGGTCCTGGGTCGCGAGCTGGTTCTCAACCTGATGCAGTATCTGTGCCGCGAGTACAAGAGGGGCAACCGGCGCGTGGTCCGGCTCATTACCGAGACTCGCATTCACCTCCTTCCCTCCATGAACCCGGACGGCTACGAAATAGCTTACAACAAGGTACGTCGTCCTGACCGGTCGCTGCGTGAAAACTGACGTGGATTTAAAACTCCCGGCGTTCCTCAGGGCTCCGAGCTGGCCGGATGGGGCGAGGGACGGTACACCTATGAAGGGATCGACCTGAATCACAACTTCCCGGATCTAAACACCATCCTGTGGGATGCTCAGGAGATAGCCGAGGACCCGTCTAAAGTACCCAACCACTACATTCCGATTCCGGAATACTACACCAAAGAGGACGCCATGGTAAGAACACACGCACGCAAAAACAACTACATCCATCACATCAGGAAGTATCATAGGTGTTGGGAATCAAAAACTGAATGCCCAGCAAGGGACGAAAAACTAGAGCCTATATGGATTTTATTGAGGGAGAGCAAAACCTGCTGCTCACACCTCACATTGCTCAGGAAAATGCCACCCGGACAACGGAACAAAATCAAAACCACCAAAAACTATTTTCAGTGAGGGACCAAAAACATCAGGATGCATCATCATTGGCACGAGAAAACTTATCCTGGAATATGGGACCAAAAAACACCAAAATAGATTCTTGTAGAAGGACGCAAAAAGGAAAAAAAAAATGGCTGAATCGCATGCAGAGGAAGAAAACATCCAGCAATTTCATCGCGATCGGTTCTCGGGTGTGTCAGGTGGCCGCGGAGACGCGCGCCGTGATCAGCTGGATGGAAGACATCCCGTTCGTGCTGGGCGCCAACCTGCACGGGGGCGAGCTGGTGGTGACGTACCCGTACGACGGCACGGAGGGCTGGGCTCCGCAGGCCAACACGCCCACCCCGGACAATTCCTTCTTCCGCTGGCTGGCCACCGTCTACGCCTCCACCAACCTGGCCATGGCGAACCCCGAGCGCCGCCTGGGCCACACTGACGACTTCCAGGGGTACAACAACATCATCA